GACATAATAGGATGCCGGACTGACCCATCCTAAAGATGTTGCTTGAACTTTTAGTTCATGCTCTAAGCATCTTTAGCGCGACCACGGGTGTAACTATCCTTCGACATGAAGTATTACGTTTTCTGCATATGTGAACCCGCATACTTTGATGCATCGTCCTAAGCCATATGTGTAACACCCTAATCCGTCTAGGTCTGCAGCCCCATTCGAACTAAAGTATTTAACTTGGTAATCGTAAAAATTTAAAACTTTTCAAACACACTTTATTAATCCCAATAATATTTTTCATAACATATACAGTACGGAGTATTCAACAATATTGCGGAAGCGATTTTAATATTGACATATCATAAATTGTTTCAAAACTTGTCACATCCATCCCGACAATCTCGCCCCATCTACCGTCAGGATCACATTATGCTTTCTGCTTACCTGCGTGTAGCAAATAAAACACACTACACGCTCAGCGGTAAAGCTGAGTAAGCATATCTAATGTGTCGAACATCCATATAAACTGAATCTAAATTCATAATCAATCATTTGATATCATACACACAATGTTCATTTCAGACATTCACAGTTTTGGTATCGTTCAGTTCATATCAACACATTTTATTCAATTCAGATACTATTGCAATAGTGCTCTTAAATTATTCTTAATCTAAGGCCAGATCATAACAACGCTCTTACCTATTCTTAGTCTAAGGCCAGATCATAAAAATGCTCTTAGCTATTCTTAGTCTAAGGCCAAATCATAATTTCCATAATCACATTCTTAAAAGGCAATTATTAATCAGACACTTAAACTATCATTAGTTTAAGGCAATTGATTTCGGACACTTAACTGTAGTCAATTAAGGCAATCAGACACTTAAACTATCATTAGTTTAAGGCAAATGATTTCGGACACTTAACTGTAGTAAGTTAAGGGAACAACAATATAGCGATTGGTCAACAATGGATCGGGCATTCCCAACGAGTAATCCTCTAGTTTGGTCTACGAATCCCGTTTATGAATTTATATATAATTCATCAACTATTCATGTTTTCATAAGTTCATTCTAAGATCTATTCTAGAAGTCTTCTAGATAGTCTTAACATTAATTAGCTAATAGGTATATCTTAAAGTTCTTCTAGATATCCTTAACAACATTATTTATCAATTCATACTCTTAGTTCAACAATCATTTCATCCAGAATATTCATCATCATTAATCCATAATATTCATAAAAATGAACAATCAATCAATCATCATAATAACTAATAACAATCAGCGGCCTAGCATCGAGTGTTAACACCCTAGCTTACCGTCATGCATCACATAAGATCCCTTTTAGTTGTTAAAATACCATCTTTATTCCAAGAAATCATCCTATTATTAATCATAATGGTTTGGTATCAAAATATAGGATTTCATAACTCAAAAATCATATTTTCTAA